CAACAACAACAACAACAAAAAAAAACAACTTCGATGAGCGATCTACTCAAAGTTTTGAAGCAAGAGTGGGCGAAAATCCCACAATCTAAAATTGACGAGATGATTCTCACGATGCCCCAAAGGATCAACGAACTCCACGAAGCGAAAGGAACATCTACTAGATTTTAATTAAATTATAAATATATCAATTAATGTGAATAAGACTGAAAATTTTCATTTTTTCTAAAAAAGGTGTCTATTTACTTGTGACCACGCTGTGTAGATATTACAATCACGCTATTTAACCATGTTGGCTGATTTTAATAAGTGGATTGAAATAGATGAGCAAATTGGGCTAAAAAATAGCGAACTATGAGAGTTTGTTAAACATCAACAAGACCTAGAGAGAGAGAGAGAAGAGAGAAAGAATGACTAAAAGAAGAAAATGAGAGAAAGGAGAGACTGGAAACAGAGAAAATAAGAGCACAAATTGAGATCGCCAAACTCCCTCAACAGAAAACGAAGGGAACTAAGAAAGACGATATGAGTACTCTCCTGAAAGATTTGCCCAGTGTCAAAACTGGGACGAAGGTGACTGGACAGTCTGTTTCAGCCCACTTTTCACAGGAAAATGCCTACAAGTATATGCAGGCATGACTTCAGAAGATGTCATGGACTATGACAAGTTAAAAGTGGTCTTGCTGAAACACTATGAATAACTGAAGAATGTTTTCCTCGGAAGTTCAAAGAAGTCAAACCTGACACTGGAAGAATTGTATTTCAGTTTGTGGCATGTCTACAACATTATTTCACAGGATGGAGTGACATGGCCAAGTGTGAAAATAGTTTTGAGGGACAGGCAGATCTACTAATAGTGAACAGTTTATGATCACATTATCAACTGATATGTCATTGTTCCTAAAGGAGAGAGCACCAAAAGACATGGAGAAGATGGTCAAGCTGGCAGAATAGTATATGGAAGCCCACGGAGGGAGTATAACTGGTAAGTTCAAGTATAACCAGTTAAAACCGATACCAGGTTGCCTGACCAAAAACAGGATACCACCAAAGGTGACAAAAGGGAGAAGAGATACTATATTTGTTATAAAATAGGGGCACAATTCAAAGGAGTGCAAGTTCATCACCAACAAACAACAGCAGAAATATTAACACAAAGCTTCTAGAGCTACTTACAAAGATGGTGTTGGTAAGAAACAAGAAAAAAGTGACTGTTATCGTAGATATTGCTGCCAGAAGAAACATAATAGAAACAACACGATTTTATTATTAAAAGTCACCTCAAGCACATTCTGAATAAGCTGCAGTTACATATATAAAAAATGTATTCAGACATTAGAAATGTTTTTCTGCTCATAGAGGGAAAATTCACATCATCTGGTAAATTCCATGAGTATCAATGGATGTTCCACAGATTTGAGATTAGTGGGTTGAAAGTGTACAAAGAAAATGTCCACCTGATTATTTCTTGTCTTGACCCTGTGGTAGGTAATCGTGTTTTTGTGCATTTGTTATATAATGTTGCTGTGCTATGAATTAATGCACAGTTAAATAGAAGAGGTCTATGTATTTGTTGTGAGGAGAGGAAATCCTCTATGCATTTTAAATAAAAGTCCAAAGATACGGC